AACCGAACCGAAATTCCGAATTTTCGACCGAAAACCCGAAATAGTATAATTGCAAGCTCCAAATGGTGGATTTTTATGTTTATAGTTGTTTTTATGCATAAATATTTGAAATATTTTATGACTCATGTGTTGAAAACTTTGATTTATCATTTATGATGCATATAATTGCATATTTATTGTTTATATTACGGGTGAAAAATAATTTAAAAGTGAAAAGGTACAAGTAGCCTCTCAAATTCGGTTTTGTGTAAAACCGAACTGAATTATAATTCGGTTTAAATAGACCGAATCGAATTATAATTCGGTTCGAATTCGGATGAGGTTTGAGAAAATTCGGGGACCCGGTATTCATAATTTCGGTTCGGTAAAAACCGAACCGACCGAATGCCCACCCCTAGTAGGGTGGGGTGGGGTGGGGTGGGGGGAGGGAGGAATGGGAGAGGGACGGCGATGGGGGTGGGGTGTGAGGGATGGGAGAGGGGACAGCGGCGGGGTGGGGAGGGAGGAAGGGATGGGAGAGCGGTGGGGGTGGGGTGGGGTGAGAGGGATGGGAGAGGGGACGGCGGCGGGGGTGGTGGTGGGGGTGAGGAAGCTAGGGCTGCAGCGGTGGAATGGGGTAGGATGAGTTGGAGTAGGGCTTAGATATATATAGAGTAATTAGGTGTGGTTTTTTTTTTTCATTTCCAAAATTATCCTTAATCTAATTTAACCATTAATTTAAAATTAAGGTGAAATAGAGATAATGAATGATGTAGATTTTAGTAGCCACCATGATTACTAAAAAATAAGTAACCATGCTAACCTATTCCCTCATCGTCATTCCCAGTGATTGTACATGTAATTAATCATAGATCAATGTTCATTGATCATTACAACTTGTGCAAGAAATCCATGTCAAGTTGTTGTGACAACTTGGTCGGCGAGACTTGTTCGGCACACGAGAGCTATTTGTAATGTCTCGGCTAGGAAAGAACTCGACGAGGTCAAAAATGGTGATGGCTAAGTAGTCTCAGAAGGAAGAAGAATAAGAGAACATAGAAGAGAGAAATAAAATGAGGGAAAAGTTGTTACATCACATCCTTTCTTAAGCCAAAAAGACCATTATGCCATTGGTCTAAATTTGTCAAATTCCATCGTAATATCGATGAGGACAAAAAAAAAATGTGAACTCTCGGTTCAAATGGTGTCGAGTTTCAACACAAAACGAGGAAATTACGGATGTTAATTGAGCTTTGGATTAAACTCCCCGTAATTGTGAAATTCCTAAATAAACCCGAGGCAGGGGCAATTAAACCCTAACCTAACCCTACCTCTCATTCTGCCTCACCAAGGTATATATATGTTAAGCCTAAAACTAATAAAACAGGGAATTGCACCGTCCACTATTCCGGGTTCCCATCACCATCATCTCCCTCGTTTTACCCCCCACTACGCAAGCAGCGCCGCCTCGTTGATTTGTCGACCTCGCTACTAGGAGCGTAATGGTAACCAAACAAAGGAGGTCTTGATAAATTGTCCATAGCGGCGAGGAAGGTAAGCAAATTTTCGCCCACGTTTATTGCCTAGTGGAGATGTTATATGTGACCAGGGGAGGGCGGGCTACTCTTCGATTTTTGCTAGGCTCCGGATGGAGAAGGAAGCGCTGAGGATGCCTCAGGTGAATCGGTGGATCGCGGAGCTGAGCAGAGGAAGGAAAATAATTGAGAAGGGGAAACTCCATACGGACCGGACAACTTATTAAAATTGGGATACAATGATTTTGGAGCTTTCTTTCATGCTCACTCATGGTGAACGTGGCTTTAGCATGGGGTATTCATGCATGGGATATGGGACGTGTAAGGGAGCATGGAATGGATGGAGCATACGTGGAGGTTATTGAGATGGGTGAGGGAGTTCAGCTTGTTGTTGATAAAGAGGAAAAAGAGTCATCATCCGTCGTTGTTAAAGGGCTCTCAGGGAGCAGAATTCAGGATATAATGGTGGCGCCGATCGATAGTTGATAGCTATTAACTCCCGTGGATTCGGAAGAGTAAGGTGAGTGTAAAGGAGGTAAATTCTACGCCTTACATATTCTTTAAAGTATTATGATCTTAAGTATTTTAGCGAAGTGGTTATTGTTGCTTGATTATGTTTATGGTTGATTATATGTGCTTTGTTTGAGCTATGATTTGAAGTGCTGTGTTATTTAATTACCTTAAAGCTTTACGTTATGAGTGATTGTTAAAGTTTAAGAAACGAGTTCTTTTTAAGAAGTATTTCACCTTCAAGAAGGTGAAATCCTTTTAAGAGTTTTTAGTCATTAGCGTCAGTCCGTTGCCATTTTAGATTTTGAGATAGAGCAGCAGTTATGCTCTTGAGACTTTTAAGATGAGCAGCAGTTATGCTCTTGAGAATCATGGTGAAGAGCCACCGCGATAAGTTTAAGATGTTAGGGGGATGAATCGTTACGACTCCCCTAACTAAGTTTAAGTTTAAGGAAAGCCTGGATGACTTCTCATACGTATGAGTTGGGCAACTAGGCTATCTAGTGAGGGATCCCCGGGTTATTCATTTAAGTTGAGATTTGAGCTTTAAGAATGGAGAGTAACAATAGCTCCCATACATCTTTACGAGTTTAGATTTTTAAGAGTGGAAGTTGTTTAGTTTAAGTTAAGTGTCTTAAGTGAAGTATTCAAGTACTAGAGATTTTAAACGTAAGGGCGTAGACTGACCTCATCTCACTCACCAGGCCATAGTAAAGGAATGAGCGAGAACCAGCTTAATAGCAGCTAGTTAGAGGAGCAGTTAGAGAGCAGCGAGATCGAGTGAATGGTTCCAGGCAAGCCAGCTAGAGGAGGACAGTTCGTACGTCATGGAGGATGTCTAGTCAAGGTTTTCTATAAGCGGCAACATTAGAGACTTTTTAGTTATTTTATTTTATGATTCTGAGTATAGACTGGAGATTCAGATTAAGATTTTATTATTGAGGTTCTCCCAAGTGTTAGGGCTTTGTTTTAAGAAATTACAGTTTATTCTCATTATTTTTAAAGCTATTTATGAAAAGTTTCCGCTATTTTCCCAAGTATTTTCTGTTCCTATTTGTTTCATGGTTTATAAAGGGTATTTTGGTAAAGAGTGTTACAAAAGTAATTATTTTTCAGATAGCACAGTAGACCGAGTTAATATACCTGTTAGGAAAATTACAAAATGATACCCATAAGTTTTCCCGTGTCACAATTAAGTCCACCTCAATCTTCTATTTCCTTACCATTTGGTCCAGTGTGTTACAAACTCCTCTCCTTTACAGCAGACACAAATACACAATTGGCCATCCCATGTGCGTACTTTCTACTTGAAGAATTTCTAGAACCCTTTTCATGTTATAAATGTACAATTGCCATGCTCTTGTAGTCCATCTAGTATTACTTCCTGTCCTTCCTTATCAAAGAATAGTTGCATGTTGACAAAGTCAAACTTAACAAGACTTATTACCCTCAACCTTTCCAACCCTAACACCATATCATTGGAAGCTGAGAATCCTAGCATCATACTGAAATTGCTGACCTTGTATTTCCCACTAAAAGTCCTTGCATACCAAGTTACTGGCTAATATGGTGCCATCTGTCACTTTAACCCGCAACCCGCAATGGATGAGCTGGTGACCGAGCACAGTTCGTTTCCACAGCCTTCTGTTCATTCAGGAAGGTATAAGAATTTAGCCTTCTTCATTTTACCCTTAAGCACCAGGGAGTTAGCAGGTCCACTATTCAATGTCTGCATAGTTACCTCGTCCGATTGAATCTCCTTAAATGGATCACCTCCATTTTCCTATTCCATCATACTTGACTCATCATCACTCCAATCTTTTGGTGGCAAAATTACCACATCATCACCCTGAAAGACATTTAGTTGTCTTTTTGCTTCACAGACATGACTATAGGTGTCAATCGGGCGGGTTCGGGTCGTAGGTTAATCGGGTTGCGGGTCAAGCGGGTTCGGGTTGATTGGGTTGCGGGTTGATCGGTTGCGGGCAAATTGGGTCCGAGTTGATCGGGTTGCGGATCAGTCGGGTTATGGGTTGATCGGGCTGCGAATCAATCGGGTTCGGGTTGATCGGATTGCGGGTTACTACAGGTCGGGTTGCAGGTTGTTCGGTCCAAACCATCGAATTTTTTTATAATTAGTTATATATTACACTAATTTAAAACAAACTCACTGATCACCATATTGCAATGAAAAAAAACATGAAGGTACATTATTAAGCAAATGAGTGACTAGATTTTGCTTGAATATATATCATAAACAAGTTTGATGTTGCAGAGGATTCATTAAGGTTACAAAACCAACATAAGAAATTAAAAAGCTGACAACTTGCTTGATCATAAACCTATGAAACAATCTCTTGAGTCTTGATAGTTGAGACCATTACATAACATTTAAGCAAATATAATAGAATGAAATACAGTAAAGTACATAATGCTCCATTAATCTTGAAGATTTCTCTTAGTGCACATCTTAAGATGCCTCCACAGTGAAACTGTCCCATTCTTATTAGGATAGCATCCAAAAACCTTCATGCAGTGGTTGCATTGAAGCTTAATCTCCTCCTCTAATTCAACTTGAGTGAAATTCTCCCAAATTTTGCTTCTTCTAGCCCAGACGTCTATTACTTCTGAAAAAAGAAACGAAAAGAAAAGAATTACATAATCAATCAAACAAGAAGCAACAAACACAATAACATGACTGCTGAAATTTCATCTATGGGTGGTTTGGATGCAGGTTTTTAATTTGAGAGATTTGTGTGGGATTTTTGCCAAATCACTCGTTTGGCAACAAATATGGGATTTTAAAATGAAAATGAAAAATCACATTTTTACCCTTTAAATCTCATTATCTACACATAAGGGAAGAGAAAAGAGAAAGGACGAACATAGGGGTTCCTTATATGATGATGCTACAATTCTCAATTCTTTCATATCTCTTGATATTAAGTTTTAGACTCATCTGAAGGAAGCACCACTTCTTTCAAATGTATGATGTTCTCATTTGAAAAAGTTTGCATACCGTTGACACTCTTGACAATTGTATTGGAAAAGAACCACTACCAATAATTCAATCTCTTTTCCCAAAATTGAGAAATCCTCATTAACGAAAATGCTACAGCCTACAGCAAGCCTAACAATGAATTTTAAGTCCTAAATTCTAACCACCATGCCCATGTAGCAGAAACCAAACGATCTCCGCTTGAGCTCCAACCCATCAACGCCCTGCCCAAGTCAAACAACAACTTTCAAATCAAGAACCCCTCAACAGCAACAACAACGTGCAAACCCATAACTGCGGGGTTAACAAGGATGCGGACGAGAAAAAGAAAACCCTAACAAGAATCCAATCCTGCATTACTTGTTTGAAGCGGCAGTGGGTCGATTCAAAAATATCATGGGAGCGGAAACCTTTGAGTTCCCAGATCCAGAGGATAGATTGTATACTCTGGCAAACCCTAACTACGGGGTTAAGTTAACTGTGAAGTCTAGAACGACGGAATTTGTATACAGTAGAATCAGAAAGAAATCAGAACTCTTTCCTTTTACGATAAAAAAATACATACCTGATAGAGAAGCAGAAGGCCGATTGAGAGTGAATGGAAGGTTTTTTTTTTTTACCGATCGATAGAGAAGCAAAAGGCGCAGAAAAGGATAAGGTAAAATGAGGCATTTTTTTGCCAAGACAGAGAAGGCGCAGGGAAAGGCAGGTTCTTTTTTAATAAAAAAAGATAAGGGTTACTTGATTAAAGAATTAAAGAATTGTTACTAATATATTTTTTGTTTCCTTCATTCGAAGAGGAGAAGAGAAGAGTAGAAGACATATATTTTGACCGATTTTTCCCCTTCTCAATTGATTAAAGAAAAGAAAAAACATTGTTAATAATATATATTTTTTGTCACGGAAAATCAGGCTAGGATGGGAGGAATTTTCAATTTTGGATCAAATATTGGGGGAAGGGGTTTTCAAAAGTTGTTTAAGGGTTTGGGAGGGAATTTTTTAAATGGGTTTGGAAGGGAATTTTCGAGCAAATATTTGGGGGTTTTGAATTTTGCATTCAAAAAATTTCTCTCAAATCTAGTTCTTCCTTTCTTTGATATTTATTATTAATAAATATTTATTATTATAGATGGTAAATTTTATACCGATTAACTAGTTTGTTGTTCGATTCGTTGGTCGGAATGTCATTTGAATATGATATATTTAAGATGTACATTCACAAGTTAAATTAATTGTTAAAATCAAATTAATTAATAAACTATAAAAACCAAAATATCTATCATAAAGCATAACCATGAAGAAACCCTAAACCCTAACCCTATAACACCATTTTAAATGTGAAACCTAAAACTAACCTTAACCATCAACCATACGTTATCCTAAATCACAACATTAAGTAATTAACCTTAAAACTAACCTCAACCCTTAACAATAAGTCCATAACTCAAAAAGGCAAATACTGAACTCTAAACCATGACCCTATACCCTATACTATAGTTATATGTTATGAAATTGTTAGTATAAGCTATAACGTATGTTATGTGAAGAATGTAAGTTGAGTCAATTTTATATTCAGTTATTGAGAAGAACATACATCATATGACTCCAAACTCTAAACCACAAGTCCACTACCGTAGACCCTATACACTAACCTTAAACCGTGAACTATAGTTATGTGTTATGAAATTGTTGGTATAAAGTATAAACTATAACGTATGTTATGTGAAGAATGTTAGTTAAGTCAATTTTGTGTTCAATTATTGAGAAGAACATACGTCCTAATACTCTAAACTCTAAACCATGAGTCAACTACCGTATACCCTATACATTAAGTGAATATTATGTTGTTTTTTTTTCATAAAATAAATTTTAAGGGTGGTCTTACTAAGTTGTGAACCATTAATTACAATCTAACTTTTTATTTTAAAATTCAGTTAACAAAATGTTAAAAAAATATGCATATACATTAAGTGAATATTATGTTGTTTTTTCCCTAAAATAAATTTTAAGGGTGGTCTTACTAAGTTGTGAACCATTAATTACAATCCAACTTTTTATTTTAAAATTCAGTAACAAAATGTTAAAAAAATATGCCTCTGCTAGTAGGGGTGGCTATACGGTCCGGTCCGGTTAAATTGGCCCAAATTGATCCGGTCCGGTCGTTTTGAAAATGTAAGGACCAAAGATTGGATTGGATACAGTCCGGTCTTGATCCGGTCCGGTCCCAATTCGGTCTTGATTTTATATTGAGCTTGTGGGAATTTGAGTGGCCTAAGGCCTGAAAGGGTGAGGAGTTGGTTAAGTTTTGTACTAAGTGCAAAGGTTTGTGACCGTTTATGCAAATTACCCTTAAGTTTTGGGTGTTGAGCTCTTTTATCTGGTCTTTATCCAGTTTTCGATCCGGTCCTTAACGTTTTTTTACCTCAAAACTAAGCCCAAAGATTGGATTGGATTGTTAACTATCCGGTCCCGGTCCTGCCTCGGTCCGAGTTATACGGTCCAGTTACAGGTAAAACCAAAAAACCCAGACCAAATAGCCAGCTGATAATCGGCTTTAACATATTGAATTCTTGGACTTTATGTGATTATCCGTGGTATGTTTTAGCCAATTGGTGCTATTTTAGGGCTCGCTAACCAGGAAATGGTTGAAAAACCATTACTGCCTAGTGCCATGAGTTTGATATGTTACAGGTGGAGAAAACACGAAAAAGAAGTGATTGTCTCAGGAAGAATTAATTTGGGCCGGGGTGATTTCCATGGTTGGTGGCGGAAACAATTGCGGAAGGCAGAAGGCCTTTGGGCCACGAAATTCTTTGGGCCACGAAATTCTACTGGAATGGGGACTTGGACACGTTTTTTGGAGGGGAATTAGAGATTGGGCCATTTTTTGAATTAATTGGGACACGAAGAGCTGGGGGAGAAAAAGGGCTCTTTTGGGGAATTAATTGACGGACGCGCAAGCTTGAGGTAGTAATTCCGGTGTTTCTCCCAGAGCTTTCTTCCATTGATTTAAACCCGACACTTTAATTTGCTTGTTTTGTTTAATTACTTTGCTATTAGATCATAGTTTCATCTCATTAAACATTTTCCCATATAGTTTGCTCAATAAAAATTGATAGAACTTAAGGTTGTACCAGTCCCTGAGAGACGATACCCGGACTTTCCGGATTACTACAAGATAGGAATTGGCATTGTGCTTTTGCCCTATCAAGTTTTTGGCGCCGTTGCCGGGGACTGCCATACCTTATTTTTGTTGATTTTTGTGAGTGAACTATTTTGATCTGGGTGTTAGTGTGCAGGTGAATTTTTCAGGTTTATCCTCCTTGTGCATGCCAAGGAGGACGACTGGCAATTTACTGCCACTTGATCCAGAGATAGAGAGGACCTGCCGACAGAACAGGAAGCAGGTCAAGTTAGGGAAGCAGCCTACCACATCCACAACTCCTAGGCCTTCCCTAACCCAGAATCGTCAACCGAGAGGGCAGGCTTCACCACCTGTCATCTCTACACCACCGACACCACCACCTCGTGAGGTTGAGCCTGTCATCATGGCAGGACAGGATCGTTCGATCAGGGCTCGTCTGAATCGGAGGACTGGAGCCCGAGCTTCATGTGTAGTCATTCCGGCTGGGGATGCAAACATGGAGATTACCCCAGCCTTCATCAATATGATCACTAATGGGTACACGTTCTCAGGGACTAGCACCGAGGATCCTCATGAACATCTTCTCCGATTTGCAAGCATTTGTGACACAATGAAGAGCCCGGCTGTGTCTGATGATGCCATCCGTCTTCGGATGTTCTCATTTTCTCTGCTAGGGAATGCATCACACTGGTTCCAGAACTTGACACCCCGTTCCATCACAACATGGGGTCAGCTTGAGAAGACCTTTTTGGATAAGTACTTTCCTCCTGCCAAGGCAATGAAGAGGCAAGAGGAAATTGTCACTTTTAAACAAGCTGAGGAGTTGAGTCTGACCGAGGCATGCGAGCGCTATAAGGAGCTTTTAATGAGATGCCCGAGCCACGGTCTTGAAGATTGGAACGTGATCTCCATTTTCTTCAACGGAATCAGAAGACAATACCGAGATGCTTTGAATAATGCTTCCCGGAATGGTTTTACAAGAATGGAGGCACCAGAAGCATATGAACTGGTGGAGAAGATATGCTCTGAAGATACTGAATGGGGAAGTGAGACCGGCATTCGAAGGAGAGGAGGCTTGCATGAGATAGACAGAGTTGCAAGTTTAGAAGCAAAGATTGATGCTAAGCTGGATTCCAAGTTCGATGCACTCGAATGAAGGCTGGCTAAGATGACTCTTGGTAGACAAGAGGAGGTTGTTTTTTGTGAATTATGTGAAGGTGCTCATCATAGAGATCTATGTCCACTGGTGGCTGATCAGTTGGAAGATGTGCACTATATCAACAATCAGCGAAATCAAGGCCAGGGTGGTATGTATTCAAATACCTACAACCCACAATGGAGGAAGCATCCTAACTTCTCCTGGGCAAACAACAACCCAGCTGGTGCTCGCAACATTCCACCTCCAGGTCTGCAGAAACAACAACCTCTACCTCAACCAGAGAAGAAACCACAACTTGAAGAATTGCTTCTGGCTCACATGCAGAAAACCGACAATAATCTGAAGGGCCTGGATCAATTTGTCACTCAACAGCTAGACATCAACAATAATTTACAATCTTCTATGCTAGCTATGGAGAGGTAGATGGGACAAATGGCTCAAACATTGGCGGATATGCAAGGCAGGATTCCTGAGACATTACAGGCTAATACCGAGAGGAATCCAAAAGATGCTAAAGTTGTGGCAGTGATATTGAGGAGTGGCAAGGCCCTGGAAGACCCTAGTAGCTCGAAAAAGGCACCAGAGGGATAAGGCGAAGCACCGGGAGAAGGGTCTGGTGCAGAAAATGAGGAATCAGCCTTACACAGGCAAATTGACAGCAGTTTGCCTGTGCAAAAGCATGCTGCCCGTGCAAAACCAGCAGGGGAAAATGAGAAGAGGGAGGAGCTAAAACCTTATGACCCACCCGCACCATTCCCTCAGAGGTTGATGAAGCCTTTGGAGGACCCGAACTTCAAAAAATTTGTGAATCTCTTCAAGCAATTGCACATCAACATTCCGCTAGCTGAGGCTCTTGAGCAAATGCCCACGTATGCCAAATTTCTTAAGGAATTGTTGACAAAGAAGAGAAAATGGAGTGATTTGGAGAAAGTAACACTCACACCAGAGTGTAGTGCTGTTATCCAAAATAAATTGCCCGAGAAGAGGGATGATCCGGGCAGTTTCACCATTCCATGTGTCATTGGAGGTACAAAGTTCGATAAATCACTTTGTGATCTTGGAGCAGGAATTAATTTGATGCATACTCAGTCTACAAGAAATTGGGATTGGGAGATGTTCTTAAGCCTACTCGGATCACTCTCCAATTGGCCGATCGATCAGTGAAAATTTTGAAGGGAGTGGTGGAGAATGTATTGGTGAAGGCGGGGAAGTTTATTCTCCCAACAGATTTTGTAATTTTGGAGATGGAAGAAGATCAGGGAGTGCCTCTAATTCTCGGCAGTCCTTTTCTAGCAAC